AGATGACTTGATATATGGGCTTTAAGTAAATGATGGCATTTTCCTGAGGTGTCTAGCATTGATTTACATTTACAGAAGGATAAGTGGAATATTGATTGATCTTTTTTGGAGGTATAAGGATAGAGAGATTTCTTTTTGTTCAAGATTGCTGAGTTAAGTGACCTCGGAAAGTATTTAACAGTAAAATTAATGAATTGTTTGCATAGATGGGAAAAGCAGTGTCGTTTATGGGGACTTGAAAAATGAATGGCTTTGCAAAATATTGTAGTTTGTGCTGAAAGATAGTGACTTCCTTATGTATGCATTTGCTTTTTCTTTTTTTTTTTTTTACTGAGATTTTTAAGATCGGGAGGGTACCATATACCAGTGATTTTCAACCAGTGTGCCACAAGAATTTTTAAACATGCAATACCTGACTGTTTAGTAAGGGGCACTGACCTCTTTTCTCTTAGCTTGTCAAATAAAAAACTGACAACTGCCCTGGCAGGTGTGGCTCATTTGGCTGGGCATCGTCCCGTGCATTGAAAGGTTGCTGGTTCGATTCCCCGGGCACATGCCCGGGTTGTGGGCTCATCCCTGGTAGGAGGCATGTAAGAGGCAGCTGATTGACTTTTCACTCTCTCTCTAAAAAAAGAAAAAGAAAAAATATTTAAAAAAATGACAACAGCCAATGCAGCAATAGCCATCCGGTGTGAATGAATCAAAATTGTACCTGTTTTTTTGTCACATTGGCAAAAGTACATTTTTTGGTGCGCTGCAGAATTTTAGTAATTAGTTTATGTGCACCATAGATGAAGAAGGTTGGAAATTGCTGCCATAGACTAATGTACAAACTGTAGTATAGCTTACTTTTTAAAGGGAAAAAAGTTTTAAAATAATCTTGGCCACATTGCATTTTTTGATGTATATGAGCCATATTTGAAGAAGCCTAAAAAATCTCCACTATTTATTTGTCCTGTGCCCACACTGTCAGATAATGCATGATTCCCCAGTGAATACTTGTTCACTAACTCATTTGAGGACAGGATTCTTTTTTAGGCTCAGATACTGATTTTTCCCAAAGGACAGTTTGCTGTTTCTACTTGACATTTCTCAGAAGAAAAATAGGAAATGTAACACCATTAGTTTCCCATTGTAAAATGAGTACGTCATTATTATTTTATATTTATTCTGGTCTTTCAGTTTTATAAACTAATCATAACTTTTTGTCATGATTAGATGTACACCTCAGTACAATAAAAAATTAAGACTTTAATTTTTCAGTGACTTGTGGATTTGTTTTGTATAAATAGTATTTATAATGGATTATATAGTAAATTTCAAAATAAGGAATTTTTTAGCTTGTTTTAGGTGAAAGGCATTCTCTGAAGTTCAGTTTAACTTGACACTGTAGAACAGTTAGTATGCTAAAATTTATTTTCAGATTGTCTATTCTAAGCTTTATAATTTCAAAGAATATTTTTGGAGTGACTAGTGTGCACTCAATAATCTTTGTTTTGGTTCTGGCCAGAATTTATTTCCTAAAACAGGTGAATTTTTCTGTAGCATTTGTTCCCTTCTGCAAGGCCTCTAGAAACATCTACAGTGCTATGTGAATGCAGAACAGTGTCCTCTAATCTTGCTATATCTACTCTGAATTATTCCTGCTGGATCTACTTCGAGTTACGCGTGGGCCACATTTTGGTTATGAAAAGTTGAAAGCCACAGCTGTAGGTACATGTGATTCACTAGTATATGCTATAGCTTTTCATTCATTGCTCAGGCAGCTTTGTGTGTTCAGGTTGAGGAACTTCCTTTTCCTTCCTATTTATTGTTTTTTTAAAAATTCTGAATTGTTGGATTTTTTTCAGCTGCTTTTCTGCATTCTATTAGATGATCATCTGGTTTTTGTCTTTTATTTTCTTGGTAGAGTGTATTGCATTAATTGATATTTGAGTGTTAAACCAACTTTTCATTCCTGGAATAAATACCAGTTGGTTATGATGTGTAGTCTTTTTTTATGTCGCTGGATTCTGTTTGCTAGTGTTTTGTTGAGGATTTTTGGATCTACATTCATTCACTATTGCTCCGTAGTTCTTAGAGCCCTTTTGACATAGATCGCTGTGTCTGATTTCTTAAAGCACCCATGTTCCTTTAGACAGTATATTTTAAATAATAGCCAAATGTTAAAATTTGTAAAGAAAACAGTAAGATAATTTCACTGAAATGTTTTTTAATGATAAAAGCCATTCTTTTTACCATTTATTTTTGCTTGAAAACAATGTCTCTTTCTCTTTGCTAGATGGTCTGTGAAATCTGTTCCTTCCTTCTCCAAATGTTATCCACTAAATTGATAATCAGAATTTATAAAATGCAGCCAGCATATCCAGCTCCAAAATACAAGATATTACATAGGGGAAGAAATTTATCTGGTTGACCATTGGGTGAGCTGTAATTCTTTTGGCATAGTCATTTTGCTGCCTTGACCTTACCTTTCACATTGGTGTATATGTACCCTTTCCTAGAGTACCTACGAGAACAGCAGGGATATGCAAAGCCATATAATAAATCTCTTTCTAGAACATTGGTTTTACTAAAAAAATTAGGATAGGTGTGGGAAAACTTTTTATATTAAAACAGAAAAGATGGTTGTATAAAGAAAAATACAAAATATTCAGGATGTTTAAGCTAAACCATAAGACTTCAAAGATATTCAGTACTTTCAGCACAATTTTTAGCCCAACCACCCAACTCTAAGGGTATGAATTCTCTTTTCTTGTTAGATAACAGTACATTTTGGGGAGTTTTTGTGAAATACTCTGAGGTATTAAATAAACACTAACAATCTTACTTTATGAACAGGCTATTGTCTTCTTTGTAAATAATTAACAAACCAACTGTGGGAATATCCTTTTGTCAGTTTTAACTTTTTTATCCTATTAGATATTTCCCTTTCCTGTATTTAGCTTCTCATTTTGTTAATTAACTTGTTGCTCTACTCTAAATGAAGTAGAGGATTAGGTCTTTTTATGTTACTTTGTGGTCTGAGAATGTTTTGATGAAAAAAGTAGATCAGGATACCAGATACTTCCTCTTAAATGTACCTCATAGGAAATATTATTGAATGTAAATTAAACAGATTTCAGAGTGGATATCAAATCTTGAAGTTGTTTTATTGGCAAGTCCTCTGCATTTAAAGACTGTATTAATATACTTGCTCATATTAACTATGCTAATAGGCCACAAAGAAACCATGAGTAGTATATTTAGTTAGGCCTATGGAAGAAGTGTTATACTTTGGACTTACTACAGCTTGTTAATTTTATAGCCTTCCATAGCATAATTGCTAAAGGATAGTCTAATTATAGCAGCATAACAGAAAAGAAAGTGGGGGGGAAACCCTGTTTAAATAGTGTAGTAATAAATTTTTCAAACATACTCCAGAAACTAAATTTTACAAAGAGTTATTTTTCTGGGTAGAACACTTGAAGTTTTGGGAAATGCTCATCATAGACTCTGGCATTATGGGATGTGTGTACAAGCTTTTTTGCCCTCAGTGATCCCTGTAGTTTTCATGGAAGTCTTTCCATGAAAGACTCACAAAGGGGGTAAGTAAATGTTGGGGTGTATCCCTATTTTCTGACCTGGGAGGCTCTAGGGATAGTCTCTGTGTTTAGTTTAATGTTAAGGTAAATTTGGCAATCTATAAGGGAGGCAGGACTACCTGAGACCAGAGTAAAAATCCTCTTCATATTGGTATATTTGTTCTTTGTTAAGTTATCTAGATTCCTTGTAATTGTATCAGTTTTAGAAATTACTCTCTTAGAAAGAAGATCTTGAGTCTCATTCATGGGCCTTATGTTATGCTAATCATAAATAAAGGGTTGAGGAAATTATTTGAATGTCAAGATGAGCAAGAAGAAATAAACCTATTTTTGAACACTATGATGTGCTGTCAGTCTTACACAAATTATTTAAAGAAAAAGCAATCAACTTTTGATCATTCAAAAACTCTAATTTTCATTCTGTTATATCATTGATTTCAATATCTCCTCCAGAAGGCTAGCGAGAAAGGAAAAGCTATGGAGTTCACGTTATTCAGAAATTGTTCTGATAGAGGAGGGTTCTGGGAAAAAGTAAATTTAGGATCTCAAAGGAAAGATTTGGATTCCCTGTGGATTTCACTTACATCCCTGTGTGATCTTGGGATAAATGTGTTGTACTGTCTTTGGAGAAACAAGCACCAGTAACAGAAATTCAAGGCTAACATCTCTATGCACAGAGTAACACGAAAATTGGGATTGTCATTTTAAGATGTCTTAATGTTGTTGTTTAGTTGTTTTTGTGGTGTTTTTTTAAATTCTTTTTTCCTTTTGTGTTTGTGTTAGGAATCACCCCTTTTTAGTAGGTTGAGTTGAAATATGTATTAGAATTAGACATTAAGGAGTCAAAAATTTTGGTTGGTGTTTTTAACTTTAAAATCCTTTTTGGACTAAGAATAAATGTAGTGCAGACTTTTTTACATTAATACTGAAGAATACAGGGTATCAGTACCAGAAAAAAGAGTAAAATTACCTATGTATACTTAGTGAAATGTTTAAGTGACTTATATGTTGTTTATGTCATTTACAGGATTTAAATAAAAGTATAAAAAAATATCTAAATTAAAATAAATTGTGTCTATTTTGATAATGAAGAAATGAAACCTAGTGTTTTAAAAATTAGATATTTTTCTGTCCTAGATTATGATTGGGAATGTGTGTCTTATGTTGGACTTTCCATATGTAAGATACTTCTGATGATTAGAAACATTCTTCATTTTAAACTTAAATACATCTTTTACTTCCAAGGTGTGAAAGATTGCCTTATAAAAATTTAGTTAAAAAAATACATAGAGTATCTCTGAAGAAACCTCTGAAAGAGGCAAGCATACCTCTGGAGGAAGTCTGGTTGCGGTAAACTGCAGCTCTAGGCACATATTTTCTTTTATTCTTATAGGCGTTTTCATTTCTTTCTTTCAGAGTAAGCGAGGAAAAGGAAGTGACCGAAGAACGACTCAAAGCTGAGCAGGAGTCATTTGAGAAGAAGGTCAGGCAGTTGGAAGAACAGAATGAACTGATCATCAAAGAAAGGGAAGATATCCTTTTTGAAAGTTCTCTTTTTTAACGTGCAGGAAGTTGGTGACCCTTTCATGAAGAAGATGTAAACTCCAGAGAAATAAGTGTTCTAATTTATAACAGGGAATAAATCTGCATGGGCTGCCATTTCTAGGCAGTCAGAACAACACTTAGCAGCATGTGCCGTTGCTTGCTTTGTGCTCAGTACAGCCATGCAGCTGTTCTGCTGCTGCTGTTATACTGTGGAGTACATATTTGTCAACTAAAAAAGACAATAAGGAATTTGGGCATTAAAATGCAGCATTGGAACTTTATTAAATTGTGTTCCACTACTGCAGTTGAGCCTGCAACCTCTTTGTAGTTGCTGTTCTTTCTAGCTAAACTGTTGACAATCCTAAGTAATTCTACTCTGAACTCATAAAAGTTTTCTAAAAATCTGTTGTAATTTATAAGTGTTTTACACTGCAACATAACGCCACAAACTATTCTCACAGAGGAGAAAACTGTTGGAGTTAGATCTAGGGAGGGGTGTGTGTGCATTCATATAGTCATGTACCACATAATGTTTCAGTCAGTGATGCACCTAATATATGAATGTGGCCCCATAAAATTATAGTGAGACTGAAAAATTCCTGTCATCTAGTGATGTCACAGCCAACTTAATGTCATGGTGGAATACATTACTCATGTGTTTGTGGTGATGCTGGTGCAGACAAACCAACCACTACCATTCTTTTAGCTTCTTTTAATGGTTGCAGAATTCCAGATTGCAAAATAGCTGCTCCAATTCCAGGTATCACATTTGCATTAAGGTGGGAAGAAAAGGGGCAGAAGAAATTCTAGCACTTGTAACTCCCTCTCCTTTTTTTAAAAAACATAAAGCCTTTCTCTGAGTACCCCTCCCCACCTTCCCTCTCCCCTCTCCCCACCCCCTGCAGTCTTTCATGAGATATTTATTGTCCTGAACTTTATTATTTGGCCATGCTAAGCTGCAAGAGAGGCTGAGAAAAGTGGGCATTTAGCTTGTCCAATTTATATAGCAGCAAGCAGCAAGGGAGGAAGAAATTGAGAACTCTGGTAGCCGAAGTAGGGGAAATAGAAACCACTTTTTGTATAAGGAGGAGGTGGTGATACCTTGACCTTCCTGGGACCAAAAAAAAAAAAAGTATTATGTCCAGTGGAATTGGGGTGAGTTGGAGAAATAAGGTGAGAGAGGGAGGTAGCAGACAATTTAGAAAGTGTGGCCACAGTTAGAGTGGGGCCTTGTTTATCTGGTGATATGCTTAACAAAAATGTATGGCTATCTGGAAAAGTAGAATCTAATTTTGGTGGGCTATTGTATTTAGCACTCTCTGGGTTAGGATTAATTGTAATTAGTGCTGAAATGGTCTAAAATCAGTATGGCTATGAATAGTTTCTTCTGTCCAGCTAAATATTAAAGATACCCCAGGTGATTGTAGTGACACAATTTTTCCTGTTTTCCCCACGACTTAGCTCTGGGAGCAGCAAACTGTTGCCATGGGCCAAATCCAGTAGGGTGCCAGCTAAATTCAGCCACACCCATTCATTTATATATCGTCTGTGGCTCCTTTTGTACTGCAGGTGCAAGTTGAGTAGTTGCAACAAAGGCCCTGTGGCCTTCATAGCCTACAATATTTCCTATCTAGCTGTCTACAAAAAAGTTTGCTCACCCTTGATCTATCTTATAAACTAAAAAGGAAAGGAAAAGGCATATAAATAAAGCCAAATACTTGGACATGTGACATAGTTAGGCCTATTTTCATATGGTTTGAAGGGATTTGACATCAGCCATTTTTATTATTGCAGATGAAGATGGGAGTAAATATTAGACCGTTATCAATAATTGAAATGGTTCAGTTAACATAATTGGTTTAAGATTTTTTTTGAATCAACAAAAGATAGGTGGTATTTGTGGAACTTGTCAAAAAAGGGAGAAAGGAAGATATTAAAAATAGTGATACCGATAGTTTTTATCCCGAGTAGATTGCTCAGGTACAAATCTCCTTTACAAGCATAAACCTGTCAAAGGTTAATTTAGGTGATTTTACAGTACATAAAACCCTTTAAAACTTAGAAACATAAGACAAGGTTATAATTTAAAACAGTATAATTTTTACTACAGGTACATTTACCCATCATGCATGAATGATTCAGACGCTTTAATATACATGATATCAGATAACTTTAGGTCATTGTTAAATGTCTGTTTCTGTGTTAGGAACTGTAAGAATTCTGATTTTTGGCATTTTAAAGATGTTATACTAAATTTATGGGGTTTTGTTTTAAAAGTTTTAATAACTTGATTTATCGATCAACTATACAAACATAGACCAGTTCCTTAGTAACAAAAGAAGAAAAGATATTTTACATGTTTGTATTTGGACCAGGCTTTTGAAGTATTTGTTCTTATAGTAAATAGAGAATTATTACTAAAACATAAAAATTCTTGGCAATTTTCAGTCTTTGAACAAAGAAAGCCTATTTTATGAGAACTTAACTGTGTAAATGAATATGCCATTTACCAAGTCGAGCAGTCTGATGAACCTTGTATATTTTTGCCTAGCTAAGTGAGTGTGAAAGGAAAGATAAATTTGACACTTCAAGAGAGAAATATGTCCAATATTCCAATAGAAATCATTCTGAAATGTGTTAGCATGTATAGTATGAGACAGAGGATGTAGTCCTTAGAAAAGATGATGAATATTTGAGCTAATTGTATTTCTAGAACATATGTCTTAGGTCAGGATGATATCAAAAGCTTACAGAAGGAAAGTACAGCCTGATACTTGTTGACTTCACCATTTTAACTGGCACAGCAAGAGAAGTGATAGAGAAGAAATCAAATGGGCTCTAGAGCCAACGCTGTTCTAGCGCTGACTACCTGTCTGGACTTGGGAAAGCTATTCAACTTCTCTGAGTCTCTGTTTTCATTTATAACATATAGATAGCTGATAATACCTTTTCTACAGGCCTGCTGAAATGTGATATTCTTTACATTATGTATGTAAAGAACCTAGCACTGTCTTGTACTTAGTAGATACTAGAGAAAAGATAGCAATTCTCATTATTACTACAACTAATATGAATGAGGGATGAGATGACCAGCTTCTCTGTTTTTCATTTTTGTGCCTTTCTTCACTTTGATTTTCATTAGGTTGTACAAGTGCTTAGGGTTCTTAGAAGGCCCAGAGATAGAGTGAAATTGATGTGTTCTGTGCTTTATCTTCTAATTTCTACAAAAGAGGAAACCTCTCTGTACTACAGATACCTGTTGTGTACTCATTGGGAGGAAACCGGGTCTTACTTTCCTGTCCCAGGAACCAAACTGACAGGAATGTTTGTGTGTTTTTTCTCCTTTTGATCTGTTTCCATTGTCTTTGATTGCGACTTAGTAAATTGAAGAGGTTTAGAGGTGCATATAGCTCAGATCCTTGAGCCCATTACATAGGTAGTCATTTTAGAAATCTTGTTTTAGGAAGAAAGAATTTTAAAGGAACTAACTTTAAACTTTCTGAGGAATGTTTTAAAATGAACCAAAGGTCTCAGTATGTCTGCTCTGAAAATACACCAGAGAAAATTCACAAGAATTTTATCTAATTTGTGCAAAGAAGTCGTTGGCTTGAATAACAGTCATACTTCAGAGGTATTCTAAGCTTTCCATTTAACTATACATCTCTGCTAAGGAGCTATACTACCATGATCTGTTAGATTTGTGTCAAGGATAGGAACCATACTATGTGAACTGTCATAGACCTGGGTGGAGTGATATTGGGTGGATAGGAAAAGTGGGGAAGGATAGTAGAAATAAGTTTCATGAGAAAGGAAGTAAATTTCAAAAGAAAGGGTAAGTCTCTCTTTCCTAATTTTTCTGGCCCTTTATAAGAGAAGACAGGAGGTACTTGGAAATAGCCTTGGAAATAGTTTTGGGAGAATTAAAAATCTAAACTTAAAATGAAGAAGACTGTAGGCAGAGGACAGTGTGTTTTGGTGTCTGACAGTGTAGTATACTAATGTATAGCAAGGTATGTTACCTCATCAGCTTTGGTTAATCTTGCCTTTTTTGTTTTGAATAAGTATTGTTTCTTTGTTTTTTTTATGTTTACAAATTGAATTATGTGGTGACAGAATATATTTTGTGTACATGGATAAAGTCAGTTTATTCCATTTAACAAGCCCTGGATAATATTGTTTTACTAATCAAATAATTATCTCTAGCACTGCAGAAGTTGTGCTGCTGGAGGCCATTTTATTTGCTCAGTGATGCTGTATAACTTCAGCAGGTTTGGGGCCGTTATTATTGTCTATGTCCAGCAATGCCCTTTTAAATCATAATGACAGATTAAATACCTCTTTCCATGTGCATTAGAGAAATAAGCATGCTTAAGGAAAGTACTGTTTATTACTAGTATTGTTCCCGAAACTGTTCTTAAAGATTATTTTGTTCTCTTAAAAGTACTTAGGTATTAATGCTAACTACAGGGAGGAGTTGATGATAAATGTTTGCAGAAACTTAAAAAATTGTAAGTTTTTACCCATATAGTTAATTTCACTTTAATAAGCCTTGAGGGGCTAAGTTACTCTGTGGTAATGAGTTATATTTACACTTTACTTTTCTGGAACTCATCCAAGAATAAGAATAAAAAGAAGTACTGCTCACCTACCCTGGCCCCCTGTGGATGCACTTTTCTTATGTGAGAATTCCTGAGGCTGTTATATGGATAGTAATAATCCATTTATTAGTAACTAACACTCATTGTCTGGTGTTAGTTCATAAGTCCTTTGCAGATGAGAAGTAGAAAATCAGACGTAAGGAATGAAACTACGGTGAGAATATTGAAGCTGACAGAGAAATTGACAGGAAAACTATTAAAAACCACATAAGAACTGAAAATGTACAGCAGTCTAGAACTCTACCCACAATGATATATCTCAAGTCATCATATATTACATGCAGTGCAGTAGTTAACATTCATAATGATGATTCCGAGGCATCAAAATAATGCTAAATTATTTCTATTCCCTTACTTTTTAGTACTTCTATTAGTAATAGCCTATATTTGCATATGGATTTTCTATTTGCAAAGCATTTTAACTTATACTTTTTAATCTTCACAGTAACCTGCGTAAGTTAGGTGAGGCAGATACTCTTATTCTCTTACAGATAAAGATACAGGTATGGAGAGGTCACTGAAAGAGCTCACTGCAGTTAAGGGTGAAATCTTTCGAATCCAAGTGTCATTTCATTGCTCCAAATTATTTCTCTAACAGTGAGTACTACAAATATCAAAAAGCTTTGTTTTCTGGGGAACATTTGAGATCGTGTTCCACAGCTTATGTCATCAGTTTGACTCAAATAAACTTTTTTTTTTTAAACTTTATTTTCTAGCCTGCTTTAAAGCAAAATTTTATAAAAACTGAAATATGTGAAGTGTTTCAGAGATTTTCCTGTATTTTGACTTTTCTATTCAGTCACCAAGTTTTTATCATTTTCCTTCTGAAGCGTTACTCTGGGTCCATTGTTTTTTGCTGTTTTCACTGACACTTGACTGCATTCCTGCATCATTGTATTACTGTATGGTAAGTTCCCTTTTGTCCCTCTGTTCATTCTCTCCGGGTATCCTTTATTTCCTTCCATCACTGCTGCCAGATTAATCTTTCTTGAGGACTGTTTTTATTACATCATTTTTATTACATCGCTTTTTAATACTTTTCTGTGGCTTCTTGTGACCTAAAGTATCAAGTGCATATTCTTTTTTTAAAACAATATGTTTTTTATTGATTTGAGAGAGAGGGAGGAAGGGAGAAGGAGAGAGAAACATCCATGTGAGAGCCATACATCTATTGGCTGCCTCCTACACAGGATCCAAGCCAGCAGCCCAGGCATGTGCCCTTGACCGGCCATCGAACCGGCTACCTTTTGGTGCATGGGACAACACTCAACTAACTGAGCCACACTGGCCCGGGCAAAGTGCATATTCTTAATTTTGACATTCAAGCCCTCCATTACTGGTATCATATAACATATTTGACCTTCACTTTTATGTCTCCCTTACTTGGTCCCTGTATCCTAGGTAGGAAGGACTCATTGGTTTTTTTCTACTCTTTACAATTTATTTCTATTTCATCATTATTCTTTTCACTAGTTTTCTTCTTCAGGGTTTCTTTAAGATGTTTTCTGTGACAATTTTAAAAAAATAATATTTGGCTCTTAGAATTCTTGAAGCATTCATACATGTACCAACTGCCTTAACTTGTGTATCTCATGGTTCTTTGGGCACCTGGGGTGTTTTTGCAACAGTGCTGGATGTTGAATAAGAAAGTTGCTTATATTGGAGTCTTGGATCAGCTGCTTGATACCTTTGTAACTTATATTAGTGTCATGGAATGCAGGAGCATTTCAGTGGCATTTTAGAAGAGTAAGCCAATTTTCAGTGGCTTTAGACTTAAGTAGGGGTGAGAAAGTGAAGGCTATGCAGAGAAGGAGCTATTGTCTCATCAAAGGGGAATTTATATTTGAAGGAATGTATATTGATTTGTTTTAAGGCTGGAAGAGAATTTTGAGCCCATGAGTATATTGAAACAAATGTGCCAGCTAATGATTAAGATCTGCTTTCTATTTTATACTACTTTTTCTGATTTTCAGTTTTTCTTCTGTGAAGATGAAACAAGTCTTAAAGAAATTCTGATAAATTTATCTGTTAAACTTGCATGCTTTGGAGTATTGAGATAGGAGATAGTGCTTTCCAGTCCCTTTGCTCTCTATTCTGGGTTTAGCAAGGTTCATTTGTTTATATATGTATGTATTTGTTATTTTTAGTATTTGCCATGGACTAAATTGCATCATATCTTGAAGTCCTAACCACCCAATGTGACTATATCTGGAGATAGGGTTTTTTTGTTTGTTTGGTTTGTGTGTGTGTGTGTGTTTTGTAAAATATATCTTTATTGATTTCAGGGAGAGGAAAGGAGAGGAAGAGAGAGAGACAGAAACATCAATGATGAGAGAGTCATTGATAGGCTGCAGCCCGCAACCCGGGCATGTGCCCTGACCAGGAATCGAACCCTGATCGCCTGGATCCTAGGTCGACGCTTAACCGCTGAGCCACGCCCGGCCGGGCTGGAGATAGGGTTTTTAAGAGTAAATAAGGTTGAATTATGTTATAAGGGTGGGGCCCGAATCCAATAGAACTGTGGCCTTATAAGAAAAGAGTCCCCCACACACACACATCTCGTGTGAGGACACAGCTGGAAGATCAGGAAGAAAGCTCTCACCAGAAACCAAACCATGTGGGTGGGACCTTGGTGTTAGACTTTCCAGCCTCTAGAAGTGTGGAAAATGAATTTCTGTTGTTTAAGCCACCCAGTTTATGGTATTTTTGTCATGGCAGCCTGAGCAGATTTAGACAGTATTTAGCATGTACTTAGCTCTTTGATATTTTTATTCTAAATATAAGGTGAAAAGGCCTTTCCGTGTATCTATAGAAGAATTGTGTTTCTAAACACTAGTGTGTTTTCAGATGTTATTCTCTGATCATTTTTCCTTATTTTTATTCTCCTGGTTGGGTATTAATGCACTTTGAACAATAATTTAAAATCCTATTTTGTATTATTTTTCTGATGAGATTTGCTTTTAGGGATTTCTCTGCCTGTTGTCTGAGATTTTTTTTATATCTGTTGTGTATTCATTTATAGTAAAACAAATAGTTTTACTTTCCAGGTTTAGTTTTGGTGGTGTTTTGATTTCTTTGGCTTGCTGTGAATGCTCTAGATCTGGAGCCCCTTTGTTGCTTTATAATGGGGGACACTGAGATTCAGAGAGATGCGGATTAAGGCTTCTACAATGGCCCTTGTGGCTAAGGGATTCGTTTTTTAATGCACACCAAACTGAAATTCAAAAAAAAATTTTTTTTACATCTGTTTAAATAATTTTAAAAAAATTTCTTTTCAGTGACAGTTTTGCACTAGGTAAACAGTACTCAGTCTGTTTAGCATCATTTAAAATTACTTTGGAAAGTCTCAACAGTTCTTAAACAAAGAAATAGACTTTTAATAAATCAATCCTATAATAAGTATTATTCAGCAGAGTTCATTATATCATTTAGCCTTTTACATTACTGATCTTCTTTAAAGGGCTATTCTGATATAATCTTTTCCACTAAATCCATTTGCATACCACATCTCGTAATTGCTTTAGATTTGAAGAATATAATGAATGACTTTATTATTTATCAGTAATACATTTATTTTAGTGTTCTTAACCTAATATGGCCTTCACTTATGAATAGCTAAGTGATTCAGATGGTAATATTCTCACTTCAGTTAGACACTTAAACAATAACATTTCTTTTTTATTTTTATAGTTTCGCCCAGTATTTTGCATTTCTAAGCTCTATAATTTTTCAGAAGTAGAATTATTACATAGTCATGTAATGATTCGAAGTTAACTGAATATCTGGAATGGATCTTCCTATAGATAAGATGGTAAGGATTATCACTTTCTCCCAATTTTATTATCTTTGTTACTACAGAAATCCCAGGCTATTGAGCATCTTGTTTTCCTGAATCCTCAGGCTTGTAAAGAACAGTCAAATGGGGAAAGAGTCTTTCCTATCAAAATAATCTTGAGCAGTCCTTGAATTTCTAAATAAATGTAGCCTAGAAAATTAAAATATTTAAATATATTACTTGTGTTCCAGTTGGTCAGTTTTTCAAATAGTTGTTATGACGTATGTGCTTTATTTTGAGGCCATACCTTTAAGACCCATTTCCACACAGAAGCTAATAAACACTGGAAAATTGGCAGGAGGCAAAGGAAAAAATAAAGAGGTAAAACCAATAGAAAAGAAGGTTAAAAATAGTAATTGCCCTACTGAGAAATTTGCACTAGAAAAAGTCTGACAATAGAGAACAAAGCCTATAATATGGTGACAAAAGAGAATAGTTATTAGTTGGGTACAGGAAAAAGTTACCTAATACCCACTTCAGTTTCACATTAATAACCCCAAGGCATCAGTGTGCTAGGCTAATGGCACAAGGACTAGCTAAGCTGTCTAGAGGCAAAGGGAGAGGAGGTTTAGTATGATGGTAAGTGTAATGATTTAGAGACATCACAGCATTTACAAGTATATTCTTAATATAGCATTACATAGTGATTTGAGATGGCAGAGAAGTGCTTTATGCTGCTCTGACAGCTTTTATCTTTATTAAATCAAAATACCATACCAATTATATGAAAATTCCTATTCGTAAACTTCTAGTTGATTAGAAGTTAGATGTCTCAAATATGACTTATCTCAATGTGTGATACAACAAAAATACTATTTTGTAAAGAGCACTAGAATTATAAAACTTGAAGCCTTAACTTAGTTTTGCATTTTAACTAGCTTACCTTAGATAAACTCACCTCTGCAAGTCCTAATCTCATAATATATAACATGTTAATATCTGAACTATTTACCACATAAGGTAATCATATGAGCTTAAATATGCAAATTTTTCAAAAGTATGAAGTTCTACAAAAATTTAAGGTCTACAAAACGTTTTCTTGCCCTGAAAAAAAATTACAACAGCCAAGCCGGCGTGGCTTAGTGGTTAAGCATTGACCTATGATCCAAGCAATCGAGGTTTGATTCCCAGTCAGGGTACATGCCCAGGTTTTGGGCTCTGTCCCAGTGCATACAGGAGGCAGCCAATCAGTGACTCTCTCATCGTTGATGTTTCTATCTGTCTCCCTCTCCCTTCCTCTCTCTGAAATCAATAAAGACATTTTAAAAAAATTATAACATAAAAAAATAGATGTGAAGATATATTTAATAAATCTCTCAAATATTTTTTATTTCAGATGCTATCTTTTATTCAAAGGTGGTTTTTTTCCTTTAGAGTCCTCATTCACATTTCTGTTGCCCAAAGAGTAATTAGCTTTTGAAGAGGCAGTATAGTTTTTGAAGCAAGTGGTTTTTTATTTATGAGGGAGCATCCTTAAAAAAAATTTTAGTACAACTTAAGAAAGTTTGTTGCTAAAGAAGTCAGGTAGGAATTACTAAGGAATCTCACCATTCATTATATGCTGCCCTGACAAGGCATAGAACAGATGTCGAGGAAAATAATGCAGAAACAAAACTCAAAAGGCTAAGATTAGATGGAACCTACTTAAGGATGTTTTATGAATCTGTGTCAGGATTAAGCTTTCTTGTTTATAACAAGAAATGCCAAAGTAACAGTAATACAAACAAGATATATGTTTATTCCTTTTTATTTTTTATTTTTAAATATATTTTTACTCATTTCAGAGGGAGAGAGAGATAGAAACATCAATGATGAGAGCGAATCATTGATCGGCTGCCTCCTGCACGCCCCCTGCTGGAGATCAAGCCCACAACCTGGGCATGTGCCGTGACCGGGAATCGAACCGTGATCTCCTGGATCATAGGTCAATGCTCAACCACTGAGCCATGCCAGCTGGGCCGGGCTATTCCTTTTTATTTTGAGTTTTGGCATGAGGCGGGTATGATGACTCCATAGATTTTAGAGAGCCACACTTTTTTTTGTCTTGATTGGCATTCCAATCTTCAGCCATGTGCATATTATAGTCAGCAGGAAGGAGTCTGTTGATTTTGAAAAGTATGTTCTCAATTTAGTTTTAATTTTGTCTTTCAGTTGTTGGATTTAGAAACACAGTTGAATTTTTATATTGATTTTATCTTTGACCTTGCTAAATTCTCACTAGTTAATTTTAATAGTTGTTTTATAGATTCCTTAGGATTTTATGTGCAATGATGCCATCTGCAAATAAAAACAATTTTAGTTCTTTCTTTCTGATCTTTAAGCCTTTTATTTCTTTTTCTTGTCTTACTGCAATACCTCTAGTTAGGTATTGAATAAAAGATGAGCAAGAACACCCTTGTCTTTGTCCATGTTTTAGGGGAAATGTGTATTTCATCCTTAAGATTGATGTTAGGTATAGTTGTTGTTTTTTTTCATTTTTTATTTACTGATTTTAGAAGGGGGGAGAGAGAAACATCAGTTTGTTGTTCCACTTATTTATGCGTTCATTGGTTACTTCTTGTATGTGCCCTGACTGGAGATTGAACCCAAAACCTTGGCATATGGGGACGATGCTCTAACCAACTGAACTACCCAGGGCTTAAACTATAGATTTTTTGATAGATATCTTTTTATCACACTGAGGAATTTGTTTTATTTTAGTTTACTAGGAGGTTTTTTAAAAAATAGTTGTAAATGAGCTTTGATTATTGAGGGCACTTGACATTCTATTATGTATTTATTTATTGTCTGTTTTCCTCATGGGACATTATTTTTGTCTTATGCACTATTGTACACTGAGAATCTTATACACCTAGTACTCGCTATGTACTCAAAATATACCTGTTACATGAATGAATTGTTAAACCTGTGTTGCTTGATCAGAGAACATCTGACTTTTGAGAGAAAAGTTGCATTTTACTGTTAGAGCTGCACATCATCACAGTCTACCACCATCTGGTGTTCGTATATCTAAATTGCAGGAAAAGCTTCTTGGAAGGTGAATAAACATGTAAGAGCAAAAACTGCAAATGACTGGACTGATCCGACTGTTACAATTTCAAAATAAACATATCCTCATTATATATAACAAGACTATGCCTGAGGTTTAGCAAATATTTTCACATTTAGTAGGTGCTGAAGTGCTTTCTGTTTTCCTGGGTGTTAGAAAAGGATGAAGGATCGGTTTAATTATATATGCTAAGGAAACAGAATAAATTGTGAAAGTTGACACAAATAGAGTGAGTGCAAAGGTATTTCTATATTTGCATTCCTGCTCCCTCAGCATTTCTTTGCAGTTAGGTGCTAGCTAAACTTGAATTTTAAACAAGGATTTTTCAGCTTCTTATCTTGTACTAAATATTTAATATATTGCCAGCAAGTCCATCTTGTGGCCAAGAAGGAAATTTTAGGTTTTTCTTAAAAATCCAATCCCTTAGTTGCACTTAATTCACTGAGACATAAATGTAGAACTGGGTGGGATTTATATGTTATATCAGGTAGCATTTTAGAGTGAAACCATCTATCCTCTATACTGGTATGACTACCACTGTGTATTTTCACTTCTTGGCCTTTCTTTGAAAAAAAATGCACCATCTGCCCTTGCCAGGTGGCTCTGTTGGTTGGAGCATCATCTCATACACCAAAAGGTTGCTGGTTGATTCCTGGTCAGGGCACATACCTAGGTTCAGGTTAGATCTCAGGTCGGGGTCAGGGTTGGGGCACATATGGGAGACAACTGATTGATAATCAGTGTTTCTCTTTCTCGCTTTCTTCCTCTCTCAAATCAATAAACATCCTCATGTGAGGATAAAAAAATATAAAATGAACCATCTGCCACATATATGTTAATAAAAGTTTTTCAAAATGCAATTCAAATATTAAAAATTTCTTATTGATGTTAAATGGTCACTCTTGTAAAATGTTGATATTTTTACATAAAGGTTAGTCCTTCTTATGGTCAAAATACCCTAGGGTGATAGTATTGGGAGAACCATTTTAGTAATAAAGATTATAGTGTGGATAAGTTCCCTACAAGGCCCCATGATGGTAATACCACTAGATTTTGTCTTTAAAGAAAACTGCTGAGAGGCAATAATTTTTTTGTATGTGTCCCATTTTCATTAATGCATGGTAATTGATGGAGTTGCAGTGACTTGTAGCAGTAATGAGTTCTAAACATAATAATGCACTCTTTTCTAATAAGTGAGCACTGCTGGGGTTTAAAAGCATACTAAATCAGTTGCTTTAGTATGAATTTATTAGTTTTTTTCAGCATTAGCTTTAATAGTAGTTATTTACATAAGCGTACATCCCATTAACCGCCATCAGGGCTGGAAAACATGCTGAACTGTTCATATTTTCATATAATTATTGAACATAATGGTTTCATTTGCATTTCTAAACAGTGATGTTTCTGTCAGCCTTGGAAATAGTGTCTTTACGAAGTCCCTATTTCACATCCACTTATTTGACATCGTTAAATTTTATGCTAATGTGCTTCCCTGGAATATCATCAGTAGGACAGATGCTTGTGCTTTAATATACAAATCAGGGATGCTTTTCCATCCCCCAAATGGCAAAGAAAATTTTTAAAAATCTGCACTTTCAGATATAGAGTCTGTCTCCATATAAATAGGTTTATGAAATAAAACTTTCAGGAGTAAATGTTATAATCTGGTTTTCCCTTCAAAATACTTCATTATGAATAGCTATCTACCTGACTAGGGTTAGTTTTGTTGTACTGAGTGAGGAGATGAGCTTAGTAGAGATCTTGTTGCTTATGAATATTTAGAATTCTGCTTCTGAAATGTTGATCTTGAGATGCAAGTTTTTCAGGGCCTTTGAATATATCAGGCCACAGTGTTAGTTCTGAAAGTATTCTCTGTATTTTTGTTCCTTTAGTTTCTTAACCTGGATTGTAATACCTCATGGTGGGAGATGTTATGTTAATACTCTTGAGCATCTAAACTCTTGAATACATTTAGAAAATACTCACTGTAAAAAATGAGTCCGCTCTTGGGGAAGGGTTGCAAGACGGGAAGCCAAGAGCATGTCAGTGAGGTAACAGAACTAATATGGAAGGACAGGTTTTATGGATAACTCTTTGCCTCTTGGATATTAATGTGTACTATCAGCTTTTGTTTCTCTAACATTTGTGGATGCTTTTGTGAATGCTGTCAATCAGATGGCTGGAAAATTTTAAACAGGAGCAAAGTAAAGAATTGTTTTGAGAATTGATTCAGGTATTTTTGGCGCCCACTACGATGGCACTAGGTCTTCTGGGGCCCCTTCTTTTCTTGTGACAGCTCAGGGCAGCATTTTACTGTTGACTCTTAGTGGACATGCCGTACCAGAGCTTACTTTGCAAAGTTCAAAACGCAAGGTTGGCAGTCTGGCAAGGCAAGGTAAAGAAGTAGCTTTAAGAGGAGTTCTTGCCCCAAATTACTTGCTAAAAATATATTAGAACTGATATAGCATAAAACTGATACAGCATAAAAGGATTATTTGGATAGAAATGTTATTTGGCT